CATGAGGCCCAAAGCTTTCCATTGATCTGCATGCTGTAAATAAGAAGAAGGAAGGTTAACAGAACTGAAAATGGAGTGTATGTCCACCTTGCGAGGGTGGTGGGGGGGGAGACAGCCACTAGTTGCTGCTGTAGAGGGAGAAGAAGAAGAAGATGATGACAGACACCGGAGAAAACAGCCAGGGAGAGGGACTCCATGCAAAGATACTCTCCTAGCTCCCCATCCAGCAGCGGCTGCTGCTGCTGTTGCTGCTGCTGCTGCAAGAGAATGCGGATGATAGAAACTACTCCGCAACAGCCACCGTGTCGGCGATGGCCCGAGAAGAGTCATTCGTGGAATAATTCATTCACAATAGAAGAAAAGAGGGATTAAAAGTAATTATTTTTCTCTTTATTAAGAGTTTCTGTAAGAAGATGAAGGAAAGGACAAAAAATGCCGGAAAAATTGAACAGCATCGACGAGAGAACGCCAAGGCTAAGACGACGCGTAGGGCCAGGCTAAACAAAAGCCTTTGAATTTAATTTTAAGAGAATTAATTAATTTAATTCTTAAGAAGGAGAAAATTGTTGAAATTATTGTAGAGAAAAGAGAAGATCAGTATAATCACCGCAGTCAAGCAAAGACGAACCTTGTCGGCGGGGGGCCCCACCGATGGGCCCCTTCGACGGCTAGGTCCTCTCCTGCCTGCCAAAACGGCGGTGAAACTTTGAATATGTTACTAAATTTAATTAAATAACTTAAATATCTTTTAAATAAAGGTAATTTTCTTGAAGTGTTACCTAGAGGATCGCCAGTAGCACGCGCATGTTCTGGGGCGTCTCGGGTGTCTGGGCAGTGTGTGCAGTTGACGCAATGGAAAGCTGTGAAAATGCTGAATGTTTGTAGGTGTAAGGAGGGGGAAAATGATTTAATTTATTTACTTTTCTTTTTTTTTATATGTATCAGTCATCCTTGCAACTTTTTGTTCTTTCTTTTACATATGCAAGGCAAAATCTTCAAATATTCAACGCCACCAACCAATCTGCACGTACACCCGGGGAGTAACCATCATCAGCTCGACTTGATGAATCGATATATGGGCATTAAATATTATATTATTAAAGTTTTCTTCTTTGTTTAAGGAGTATTTCTTCTAAATAATCCAAGTATCAACAATTCTAACTCTATTTCCGCCTTATCCGTACGGATCATTGCCCTGTTTTGCCGGTTGCATTGACTAGGCTTCCTTGTTGCATTTCTCGTTCTCTTAGGCAATTGCATGTATTTCCTTGCTTTCTTGATTCTTTAGAGCAAAATGATTGAAAGTTTCTTTCCTAATCATTATTTACGTACACTAGAGAGTGCAAGATCATGGGTTTCCTCCATAGATTGGCATAAAGAAGAATCTGAACTTGGCAAACTTTTATCAAGTATACACCGCAAGATAACAAGACTGCAAATATTTCGTCAAGAAAAAAGAATTTCTTCTTCTTTTTCTTCTCATGGTCCTATTAAGCGTAGATGCCTAGATCAGCGTCTATACAACTATACCATGCAGCAGCAGCAGCAGCAACAGCAACAGCAGCAAGAAGAAGAAGAAGAAGAAATGCAAGAATGCATGCAAGAAGCTGCTGCTCCTCGTGCTGCTGCTGCTGCTGCTCGTTATTTACCATTTAATTGTATAAATAATAATAAAGAGGTTGAGCTCAGCAGCACAGCAGCAATAAGTCCTATTAGGTAAGTAAATAATATTTATTATTTATATATTATTTGTTACTTATATTTCCTTTTTATTTATCTTTCTTTAGGCCTACTGATGCTGCTTTTGCTGCTGCTGCTGCTGCTGCTGCTGCTGCAGCAGACATGGAGCAGCAGATCGGTACTCCTCCATCAGCAACAAGTGTAACATCTGCACGGTAATCTTCCTTTTTTCTTTTCTTCTTCCTTTTCTTTTTTATTTATTTATTATTTATTTATTTATTATTTATTTATTTATCTATTTCTTCTTTTTTTTTTCCTTAGTACCCATGAGATATGCGACGTAACACAAGAAATGCAGCAGCAGCAGCAGCAGCAGCAGCAGCGGCGTTTCTTAGTTCCTATGCGTAAGTCTTTCTTTTATATAAAAAAAGAAAAAAAAGAAATGCATGCATTTATTCCTGTATGCATGCATGCATGCAATTATGCATGCAGTCCCTGGTGCAACAGGCATTCGTATAGCTGCTACTACAGCTGCTGCTACTGCTGGTGTTGCTGCACGTGTTCCTGCTTCAGGGTACGTTGCTGCTGCTCCTGCTCCTGCTGCTCCTGCTGCTGCTGCTGCTGCAGCACAGCAGCAAATAATAAATAAATTAATTTGTATAATATAAACAGGACAAGAGAAGTACAACTAAGAGACACAGCAAATAGATCATCAAGGTCTTATCCTCTATATTATGATGCAGAGATAGGTAACAATAAATATATAATTAATAATTAATAAATAATATACTTGCATGCATGCAGTGTATGCATGCATGCA